GCAGCCCGGAATTGTCTTGCACACGAGATGAACCTGCCTCAGCCTCCCACAAGGCTGGAATGGATGACAGTTGTGCGCCACCTCGCCTGGCGGAGTTCGGTCTGTTGTATACGTAAGGGAAGACGCCCCGTTGCGTATTCACCTGTGTGCGCGAGTATTGATTTTACGTGATAAGAAAGACACTCAGACCCAGAAAACGGGTCAGGGTGAATATTCACTTTTCTCATATTCAAAAAGTGAAAAAGCATCAGGAACTGTCTTATTCATTTTATTTTCCGTGTGATTCACGTTTGTTTCTTTGTTTGGTTTTGAGACTGGGTTTCACTGTGTAGCCCAGGCCGCTGGCCTCGAACTGGCTGGGATCCTCCCGCCTCAGCCTCCGGAGTATGGCGATAGCAAGCCGGGTTACACTTGGTGACTTTGCGTCTTAGGGAAAAATCGTATTGCTTCGGGGGGAATGCTTTTTTACATCCCCAGCCCTTTTGTGTGTTTTATTTTGAGATGAGGTCTTGCTAAGACAACAAGCTGCCCAAGCTGGGCTGGAACATGCGATCCTCCTGCCTCAGCCTCCCAGAACGCTGGGATGACCGGCGTGCACCCCTGAAACTTATTTTTTCTTCGCAACACGCTGATGCCAGATTTGGCTGGAGGGCTGTGCTTTGGTGACTAGTTTGGAATAAAGATATTTTCTAAGTAGGTGGAAATGATACTGCTTCCTTCTGATCTTCACAATCCTGTTCAGTGGTGTAAGCGTCAGGAGGGTGGAGTGTACCGCGGCCCAGTGGCGCACACCTGCCATCCCAGCGCTTGAGAGGCTGAGGCAGGAGGATCTCTGCAAGTTCACGCCTGAGCTACACAGGCACAGCCTGTGTCAAAACAGCAAAAAGGTTATTAAATGTGTGGTAGACAGACGTTAGAGAGCATTCAGCCTCACTGGAATTTTCTAGTGGCTCATACAGAACTTTTAAAAATGTACTTATTTCAATTGACCAAACCAGTTATTTATTACAGTAAGCCCCACAGTGCATTGGTATAGGTGCCCGGGTGGGGTGGCTACACCACGCTGATGCACACCCATACACACACACACACACACACACGCACACACACACACACCATCATCTTCGCATAGGGCACAACTGGAGCCTACGTCCTGCAATTTTGAAGCATATAATTGTTCTCAGCTGCATACAGTGTATTATAACCCAGGTCCTGCGTTTATTCTTCCAGCCTGACTTCCGGCTGCAACTTTGTTCCCTTGCACCAATATCTAGATGTCCCCAGTCTGGTCTTTGCTATGAGTTTATGTCATGGTTTGTGTCTGGGTGTCCCCCCAAAGCCTCCCCCAGCCCGTCAGGCTGCCCGTCTTCCTCCGGTGCCCACTCTGTCTTCTTGTTTGCTGCTCACGATATTTAATGCCCACTTTTCACTTTGGTGAAGATTGAGAAAATGTTCAGGATGACCAGGATATGCAGCCTGGAAGTGCACCCCTCCCAAGAGCTCTGTACTGGGGTCTTGCTTCTCAGCCCATAGTTCTATTGGGAGAGGGTGGATCCATGAGGAGGCGGGGCCAAGAAGGAGGAAGTGAGGTCATGGGGGCGTGGCTTGAAAGCAGTTCTGGGAGCCCAGTTTCCTGTCTTTCCCTTCCTGGCAGCCATGATGAGCATGGCAGCCATGATGAGCGTGGCAGCCATGATGAGCGTGGCAGCCATGATGAGCGTGGCAGCCATGATGAGAGTGGCCTCCCTCCCCCACGCCCATCTGCCATGATGCCCCTGCCTGACTTTGTCCTCATCACTTGTGGCTTTTCCTGTGCAGAGCGAGTCTCAAGGCCTGAAATCCAGGAATCTGAGCACAATGCCCCAATTCCTTAAGGAAGTCAGATGCAGAAGTGGTGCTGGCCCTGCCCAGCTTCCCTTTCCTGCTAGCAAGTTGACGTTCAGATATTCCTTCCACTCCACCCTGCGGGCTGTGCCCGGCCGTGTTCGTCTCACCCGTGTCCAGCTGGGGTCTGAGATCTTTCCAGTGGCGGTCGTTTCTGCACACCTCTTCTCTCCCCGCTTTTATTGGAAAGGACTTAGTAAGAATGTGCAGATAAACAGAAATATCGCTTACAGAGCAGTGGTTTTGGAATTGTTCTCAGCTTTGTGTCACTCAGAAGGACTTAGAAAGAGGGAAAAAAAATTAGGCTCAGGGTTGCAGAGGGTGCAGTCCATGGTTGGCTACTCCAAGGCATCATGGTGGATTAGTGTGGAGGAGGGATGCCACTCTCATCATGGCCACCGGAAAGGGAAGGACAGGAAACTGGACTCCCCATATCCCTTTTAAGCCACGCCCCCATGACCTCACTTCCTCCTTCTTGGCCCCACCTCCTCATGCATCCGGGCATCTCCCAATAGAATTATGGGCTGATAACCAAGTCTCCCATACAGAGCTCTTGCGGAGGGGGTGCATTTCAGATTGAAACCATACCAGTGCATATTGCCCGTGGACTCCTCAAGAATGTTGGGGTTCACCCAAGCCAGAGGCACGGGTGGTTTTCTGGCCAGGTATTCAGCAGCTGACCATACATTGCATCCTCTGCAACCGTGAGCCAGAATAATTTTTTTTTTTTTTTCCCCTCTGTGTAAGTCCATCTGAGTAACAGAAAGCTGACAACAGCAGGAGCTATTCCTAGATCTTATGGGAGCTCCCGCCCAGCAGGTGCCTGGTGTCCCTGTCATTCCTTAAAAGCAAAATATCAGATACATTTACACGTTGGGCCAAGCCAGGTTGTGCAGACTGCGTCTGAGATGGACGGGTAGGATGAGGCAGGGCCTGTCCCCCGATCCAGTCAGGTGCAGGGGACCCAGGGAGAGCTGTCCATGTGTGGCAAAGTCCTGGATAATAATAAGACATTTATTATTATTATTATTATTACTGTTGTTATTTTCTCCCAGTAACTTGTGGAGGATGTTATTCTGTTTGTACCTTTTCTTTTCAGCCGGAAATAATGAGGAGAGAGCCCAGCAAGCCGTTAGCAGAATAAAGGAAGAAACACTGAACACCAAAGGTAACGCTCGAGGCTCCTTTCTCTTGTGTCTGTAGCACCACGGATCCGGCTGAGCTCCATAGCCGTGCTGCGGGACTTGGGTGCGGGCGTGCATTGGGAGATGGATCTTGGCCTGTCTGCATTTATTCTCTGGGGGGTCTCTGGTTTTGGTACAAGCGGTTGCACGTGCCAGTAGGGAGGCGGGCGCACTGCTGCTAGGTCCACTGTCTGCGAGGCGTTGGTGTCCTAAGACGCTCAGCACGCAGCTGGCATCCTTGGTGGCGATGCTGACCTGCACATGCACTCAGGAGCTTTTGGTGTCACAGTAGTCTAAACTGAATAGCCGCCGTGTCTGTCTGCAGCACCTGGCTTAGGGTTCTGCGCTTGGCTGTACATGCCGGGGATGGCTGCGGCTCACCGTGGGTTTATGGGGTGCCGCGGTGACCTTTGAGAGGAGTCAGGAGGTTGTGTTTTGAAATAACCCGCATCCCAAGTTCCTGTGTGTGTGCACATGTGTGTAGACCCAGCATCTCTACATGCTGCTCAGGGCCTGGAGCCTAGCTCTTCACAAAGCCCTTTGTTATTTGGAGGTGATTTTCTTGATCCCGTGCTGCTAAGATTAAATTTGCATGTATGTTATTATTTATTGACTTGTTTGTTTACTTGGTTAGTTGGTTGGTTGGTTGTTTAGAGACAGGGTCTCGCTATGATCTTGAGCTCACTATGTAGCCCAGGCTGGCCTTGAACTCTCAGTGATCCTCCTGCCTCAGCCTCCCGAGTGCTGGGATGGCAGGTGTGTACCAAGACACTTGACCTCATTTGTTCTTATTGTTGAGGAGCAAATCCCCTTTATCTTGGATTTTACATGCTTTTAAGTCACTGCGTCAGCACACGGGCCTTCCTGCTGGCAGAGGCGGGTTACACCTGGGGGGATGACGCGTCCCTTACAGTTCCGTTGTTTGAAAACTTCATGTCCTCATAATAATTGCACAGATTTATGCACAGTGTGACATTTCAATACGAGTATCCCATGTGTAATGATCGGGTCAGGGTAATTAGCGTTTCCATAAACTCAGACATTTACCCTGGGAAGCTTCCTAATTGCTAGTAGATATCTTGAAATGCTGTTCGTGCTCCACCAGAGGTGACTTCCTGAGCTGCAGGTCATTAGAAGCCATTCCTCCTCACTAGCTGCATCCTTGACTTAGACACGGGCTTGTTGCTGGTGCACAGCACCTGATGTACCTAACTTACACAGCCAGACAGCTACTTTGGCTCAAGGTTGCAGAGGGCGCAGTCCATGGTCGGCTCCTCCAGGGCAGGAACATCATGGCGGATGGTCGTGGAGGAGCAAAGATGCTCACATCATGGTGACCAGGAAGCAAAGAGAGAAAGACAGAGGCAGAGAAGAAGGAGCCAGGGACCAGAGAGAGTCCACAAGTCACCCCCTCATGAGGCACCTTGTCCCACAAACCCCTGCATCCTACCACTACATTCAGCTGTGGACCCGTGAATGGATGGATCCACCCAAGAGCACATGGTCCCATGATGTAAATATACACACGTGACAGTTCTGAGGGACATTCTGTATGGAGACCGCAACACCCCGGCCCCCGTTACCCATCCTGGGGCCATAACCCCCGCCCCACACCCTGTACAGCGCCTGGTTCCCGCTGTTCAAGTTCTCTGAGCTCAACTTTTAAAACTCCACGTATGCGTGGGATCACGGAGTACCCGTTTTCCGCTGCTCCCTGATTTCTCTTCGCGTCTTCCAATCCCTCCCATATTGGTGAGAGGGGCGGGGTTTCTTCTCCTTTTTTATGGCCCAGTAGTGGTCTGGAACTTGGTTTGGAAGATGTCAAATGTGTTTCAGGACACCTTGAAGAGAGTCCAAGGGTGCTTCTTCCAACTCCGCCCTATTTCTGCCGTTCTGCAAATGCTACGCACCCGGCACTGCCCGTGTGCCCCCGTTTCCTAGAGAGACACTTACTTTTGTTTTGTTTTGTTTTGTTTTTGTCTTTCTGAGACAGGGTCTCGCGATGCAGTTCAGGCTGGCCTTGAGCTCACTTTGTAGCCCAGGCTGATCTCGAATTCACAATGGTCCTCCTGCGTCTGCCTCCCGAGTGCTGGGATTACAGGCGTGCGCCACCACGCCCGGCTTAGAGATTCTTACTTGTGCTTCGAGTATATCTGCACTCTTTAACCTTTTCCCCTGAGAGGAGGCGGCCGGCCTGGCTTCACTTCCTCTCACCAGAGCACCCAGGGAGCATTCCAGAAGCAATTTCGTGTGATCCGCTTTGCAGACTCAGGCGCTCACATTTTTCTCAGTGTCACCCGCAGTGGGGTAGAGGGTGCTTTGCAGGTTAATCACCCAGAAGATGATTAAGTGGTTTTATCAGCTGGCGCTGCACGCTCTGTTTAACAGATAAGGAATAACGAATATGAGAGAGAGGGTGAAATGGCCCCGTTAGCTGAGGGAGGCTCCCAGGCCTTGCCGGTGCTACTGTGTTTTCTCTCGGTGGACGGAGACCAGCACACGGCCGTGATCGGCAAATTCTGAATATGCGCGTGGCTGGTGCCAGCTCTCCTATGAGGGACAGAGGCACAGATGGACAGACAGCAGGATCAGGACCGTCTGAGGACACCTGCGCCGCCCCAGCCGGCTGGGTCTCCAGAGGAAAGGAACACACCCGTGTGTGTGTGTGTGTGTGTGTGTGTGTGTGTGTGTGTCCTCCAGAGTTGGCCTGGGAGCCAGCCAAAGGCCATGACCCGGGGTGTCCAGACAGAGAGAGACTCTGGTCCTCCTGCTCCTGTCTGGACACGGACACACACACTGCCCAGCATGCGGGAGGAAGGGGCCCCACACGCGGACCCCACCCCAGGTAAAGCAAAGTGAAAACAGACCCAAAGGAAAGCTGGCGCAGACCGAAGTGACGCTTCTGTGTGTCGTGTGCATTTACACGTCATTACGTTGCACGATGGATTCAGCGTGGTGTGTTTGTGCATTTTCACATAAGCTATTTGCATATGAATTAAGGTGAATGCAGTAAGTTTTGTACACAAAACTTGTGATATATATATATATATATACATATATATTTTCTTTTTTTTGTTTTATTTCAGTTTGTTTTTGGTACCAGGAATCGAACTCAGGACCTTGTGCTTGCCAGGCAGGCGCTGTGCCGCTGAGCTATATACCCGGCCCTTTATATGTCTTTATATTTGAATTTATTGTTTAAATATAAATGTTTATACTGTACTATTTGATAGACACATGAACTATAATGAAAATATAATCTAAGCTACATTTTTTACATGAAGATACCATGTACTTGACCTTGTGCTTACCAGGCAGGCACTTGCGGCCCTGAACTATATCCTTGACCCTGATGAACCTCTGAGTTGTGGATGGAATTCAGTTTATGAACTGAGGTACTGCTGTATTACAGGCAGCATAAATTATGTGTGTCATAAACATATGACTTGGGGGCTGGGGATTTAGCTCAGCGGCAAAAGCGCCTGCCCGGCAAGCGCAAGGTCGTGAGTTCGGTTCCCGGTACCGGAGAAAAACCAAAAAAATAAAAAAATAAAAAAATAAATAAACATATGACTTACAGATATACATGTATGAATATAAGTCATACTTGTAATGAAACACAGTTAAATGCAACGTATATTAAATTTTTCTACATATCATAAATTCAAATTATACCTATCATAAACATGGCTTATCTTACATAAATATGTTACAAGTAGGAGTAACACACTTACAACAAAATGTATTTCATAAATATAATTTTTATTATTAAATGTTTGTTTTTTCCACATACCATAAACATCATGAATTACATATTTTGTAAATATATGATTTATCTCATATAAATATATATTTCATGTAATTACAATGAGATACATATTATAAATGTAACTTATTTTTTCTACATACCATGGACATAAGATGAACACATTGCAAATACTTATATACATATAATACGTATGCTATAAATAGGGTAATATATTTACATTGAAATATATATATTTTTTCTTTTCCTTTTTCCTTTTTGTGGTACCGGGAATCGAACTTAGGACATTGTGCTTGCCAGGCAGGCGCTTGTGCTGCTGAGCTATATCCCCAGCCCATACAATGAAATATATGTTGCAAATACAGTTTTCTTTTTTGGGGTCCATGTTGGCAGCATATAATGACCCCATTCCTCATGTGGAGATGGTGCTCAGACAGAATACGTCTTAATTCGTTTGTCATCCCTTTCCCGGTCCTGCTTCCCCATTTCCTCTCTCTCGGTCTCCTTCCCCTGTGAGGAAAATCTGTCTCCCTACTCCTATTATCTGTTACTTTGCTCTTTATTTATACTTTCGGTTTCTCATACAAAGGAAACAGCACAGTACTGAAGCTGTGTGTCAGATTTATTTCACTTAAAGTCACAGTCTCAAGATGCATCCCTTGGGCTGGGGACATAGCTCAGCGGTACAAGCACTTTCCTGGCAAGTGCAAGGTCCTGAGTTTGGTTCCTGATACCAAAACAAACAAAAAAAAAAAGGAGAGAGAGAGAGAGAAGATGCATCCATCGTCCTACAAATGATTCAAGTTTATCCATCTTCATGGCAGAGTAGTACTCCATGGCATGTAGACAGCACATTTCCTTTATCCATTCCCCTGCTGATGGACATACAGGATACCTCCAAGGTTTAGCTATTACCATACAACTTATATTGCTAAATATTTGTTTTTTTTCTATACATGTTTCTATTGATAGGGTTATTTGTATCATATGACAAACGCAGCATACAGTACTGTATAAATACATATCATTTACGTATGTGCATGTATAACAGAGGTTTTACTAACCTGTGTTGTAACGTGCATAGCACTGAAGTGAATTTTAGGGCCTCTGGACTTGGGGTCAGCATCCCCCCCCCGCCAACACTCACACTGATTTCTGTTTCCCTGGGATCCAAATGTCATTGTTATGCATCATGCCTCTTGTGTTTTGTTTTTTTGA